CATGGGGAATTATTGGTTAAATTGGAAAAGATGGGGATCAATATGAAAATTGAGAGGTGGATAAGGAACTGGTTAAAGGGGAGACTACAGCAAATCACACTGAAAGGTGAACTGTCAGGCTGGAGAGAGGTTACTAGCGGAGTTCCTCAGGGATCAGTTCTGGGACCATTAATATTTAATCTTTTTATTACTGACCTCGGCACTAAAAGTAGGAGTGTGCTAATAAAGTTTGTGGATGACACAAAGTTGGGGGGTATCGCCAATTCAGAAAAAGATCGGGATACCATACAGGAAGATCTGGATGATCTTGTAAATTGGAGTAATAGTAATAGGATGAAATTTAATAGTGAGAAATGTAAGGTTATGCATTTAGGGATTAATAACAAGAATTTTAGTTATAAGCTGGGGACACGTCAGTTGGAAGTCACGAAAGAGGAGACTCGGAGTCCTGGTTGATCACAAGATGACTGAGAGCCGCCATTGTGACATGGCTGTGAAAAAGGCTAATACGGTCTTGGGATGCATTTGGCGAGGTATTTCCAGTAGGGATTAGGAGGTGTTAGTGCCGTTATACAAGGCATTGGTGAGACCTCATTTGGAATACTGTGTGCAGTTCTGGTCTCCCATATTTAAGAAGGATGAATTCAAACTGGAACAGATACAAAAAAGGGCCACTAGGATGATCCGAGGAATGGAAAACCTGTCTTATGAAAGGAGACTCAAGGAACTTGGCTTGTTTACCTTAACCAAAAGAAGGCTGAGGGGAGATATGATTACTCTCTTTAAATATATTAGAGGGATAAATACCAGGGAGGGAGAGGAATTATTTAAGCTCAATACCAATGTGGACACAAGAACAAATGGATATAAGCTGGTTATTAAGAAGTTTAGACTCGAAATTAGGCAAAGGTTTCTAACCATCAGGAGTGAAGTTCTGGAACAGCCTTCCAAGGGAAGTAGTGGGCGCAAAAGACCTATTTGACTTCAAGATAAAGCTAGATGGGTTTATGAAGGGGATGGTATGATGAGGTAACATGATCTTGGCAATTAATTGACCTTTCACTATCAGTGGTAAATAGGCCAATGGTGGGAAGATAGGAGTTGCTGTAGAGAACTTTTTTCTGGGTGTCTGGATGGTGAGTCTTGCCCACATGCTCAGGATTCAGCTGATTGCCATATTTGGGGTCGGGAAGGAATTTTCCTCCAGGGTAGATTGGCAGAGGCCCTGGAGGTTTTTCGCCTTCCTCTGTAGCATGGGGTCACTAGCAAGAGGATTCTCTGCATCTTGGGGTCTTTGAACCATCATTTCAAGGACTTCAATATCTGAGATATAGGTGAGAGGATTATTCTAGCAGTGGGTGGGTGAGATTCTGTGGCCTGCATTGTGCAGGGGGTCAGACTAGATGATCAAAATGGTCCCTTCTGACCTTAAGGTCTATGATGCTGCCTGGTGATTATACTCTCAGCAATTATTGGAAGGCTGCATTCAACTAAAAAGTCCCGCCACATCTACAAGCTGATGTCTCCCAGGCAGTAGGCTGTATTTTTTCCAGAGGACAAGTCAAGGACCTCTTCTGGGTCCATCAAGAAGCTGTTCTGGTTTGAGAAGCTCTTCTATATGCTGTCAGGCATTTGAAAAATTATTTAAGAATATTTTCCCCAAGTCTGGAAATTAACTCACACTTTTAAGCTTGTGAAAATCATGGACTTTGGTTTGTCTGAAGTTATGTAACTGTAAAAATCAGTAAAGCTATACGTTTCTAAAAATGATATTAGCTTGTCTAAGAGGATTTTTTCCACCAGCATTTAGCACTGCAAGGTTGTCTGATTTTATAAATATGTGGAATGAATAATAAGAATGGTGTGATCTACTAGAAAAAGAAGTATAAATCTAATGTATAGGGAAAAGCAGTTTCTGATGCAGTGTCTGATAATAGGGCCATCAAGATTGGTCACCTTTAGTCTTTAGTTGATGTTTTGATCTTATTTACTTTTAGATAGAGATGGGCCTATGCCCCAAACTTAAGATCAAAAGGTAATTTTCAGACAGCCACAGTTCAGAGTGTTTCACAGTTAGAGGCTTTTGTCACAGCCATTAAAAAAAGAATACATGCAAAATTTGAATGTGGATCTCTGTTAAGATTTTTAACCACTTCCTTCAAAATGTTTGGACCCAGAGTATTGCTTTGAGTCCTCTGTTAAAAAGTTAATATACAGTGAAAAACACTCTTAATTGTGATTCATTTCTATTCATCTAGTCCTCTCAATTTACTCTCTTCTCCTCCCCCACATCTTATCACACAATAAAACATGATGAAAAGAGAAAAAACCAGGAATATAAAGCAGTTTACCCTGCTTTAATTCAGTGAAACAAGGCTGATGTATCTGATTAGCTGCTTGCAAGAATTTGTAGAAATGACTGCTTTGTTATGCACCCTAAACAATGTAGAAGTAATTCATCACTAGTTACTACGGGGGTGGGAGGAATCAGGATCATCCGATCAAACTGGTATTCATATTTCTATTCAGTTCAGAAATTCTATTTATTCTCAGGCTGCAACCCAAAGTGGAAGAAGAGATTAATGTTATGTATGCCACACACCACTCCCATTTAGGAATGTAGTCCTGTGTCTCTTAGTTCTGTCATAATCTCTTATGTTCTTTTCTTTCCTCCTACGAAGCTTAGGTAATCACATAACATACTCGATTTATCTTGAAGTTGTAGAATGTACAAGCCTCAGTTCAGAAGACTTTCCATGTCTATTACTTTAAAAATTAGAATACACTTATAACATGCTTTTAAAATGTCAGTTAAAATATCTAATCCATGCAAAAAGCAAACATGGTAAAGCATATTTAAAAAGTGATACAATGTTGTATACATCAGTGGTCTTCTCAATCCAGAACTGCAATTTACGGAAGCTGAAACAAATGGGGAGCGGATGTCTTGAGAGTCTGAAGAAAGTGGGGAAAAAAATCTGGTGGGCTGCCTGAGACTTGCATAGATTTCACTGCCCTGTGAGACACAATGTTTCTCTAATGATGAAGATGCTATTTTCAAACTTTTACAAAAATGACAGATTGCCATACATCCCAGAGATACAAGAAGCAGCACCGCAGGGTGGCATGTTAAATAACACAGCTAAGAGT